TGTACATGTGTTGTGGTTCTCTTGGGCCGCATGAAAGCAATTTCAGACAATTCGACAACTGATTGACGGGCAAACTGTCATTGACACTAACCACAAGCCACGCTCTGCGCCTTCACTGCCTCTGACTCTGTCTGTGCCCTCTGCGTATGCCTATGCCTCTGACTCACTCAGCCTCATTCTCTCTGCCTGCAGCAACCTAATAGTGTTTCCCGTTCGAGTGCATGCCTCTGCATGTCTCTCTGCATGTCTATACAGGGCTCTGTGCATATACATATGTACATGCAGACATGTATGTACGGCTCTGTTTATTGCCTACAGACAAGATTCAGTAAATATTACGGTAAATTCAATTTCCATTTCAACTCAATTCAGCGAATGCCACGTTGCGTCGTCGTCATTGGTGCTTAAGCATTCATAATAAGTAAAGTTAGAATATACATATATTTGTGAACAAAACTGAGAGAGACAGAGAAACCTTTGAGACTCCTAATTAATGGAGAAAACAGAACATTTAATCTCCTTTGAGGGATTTCTGTGCTAGAGCGGATTCAGTTAAAACTTCGGTTAAAATTCGTTTCCCAGAAAATAACCGAATATTAATGGAAAACCGGAATATACATATTTAAATCCATCAACTTACTGGGGAAATAAATTAATCTTTCAAAGCAAAACAAAGTTTTAATTTAATTTAACAAATTTACGGGAAAACCCTCACACATACGGATGTAGCTGCTTTATATGCTGTGAATGTACATAGTTTTGCACCTGTGTGTGGCACGCATATTTGACCACGTTCTGTCACCAACATCAGGCAGTTGTCTGCGAGATGGGGTCATCTCTATGGATCTGTGGCGGCGCAAGCATTTAATGCCAATTGCAACCCCTCACACAATGCTCGTTGGAATATTTCCACTCATTCTCTGACCACCCCCTACCCTACCCCCTACCCCACTGTGCCCACCACTCCCACACGCCGCACTACCCACGCACTACGTACACACATATTTTGGTCCATTAGACTCGTCTGTTGGTCTGTTCGTCTGTTGGCCAACGAGTCCCCCATGAGTCTTGTTGTCGGTTGTGTCGCTTCTTTTGGCTAATGCGGCCACTGGGCAGTCAACTGTTATACTTTCTCTCTCTCTCTGTCTGTCTGTGCATCTCTTTCTCTCTCTCTCTGTCTCTCTCTTTCTCTTTCTAGAATATAGTTAGTTCTGTTGATTCTGCCCTTTGGCTAACAACAGAATGTTGTTTACTTTGCATATTAAAACCAAATGAGAATGCAGAAGCAGGGTCCAAGCTCTGTACAACAGAAACACAAGGAATGACAGGAGTGCCTTTGAAGGCCGAAACGATTGATACCTTGTCCAACCATAAGATAAATATATTTTTAATTTCACATTATTTGTACGAATTCATTAAATTTCAGATCAAACATGTGTTCATTCGCAAGGAATGTTTCAGTTCGCTCGCGATAAATTTTCACAGCGTTTCAATATAACTTTTGCCGTCCTAGAACCTAGGAGAAACAAATAGTTTTCTTTGTTCATCAAAAACAAATACAATTTATGTACTTTGATATCGTATTTCTAATTATATTCTTTCACTGTTCGAATTGCAAGTACTCTCCTCTGAAAGGGTATGACAAAAGGGCATTGTTGAGAGATTTGAAATAGACGAGTGGATGCCTGGGCATGGCGGGGCATTGCGGGGCATTGCGGGGCATGGATTCGACCATGGGGCTGGAAAAGGGGTGGCACTTATAAGGCTACTTTTTCATTTGTGACGCCTACGCTCGCCCTCCCACGTTAAACTTTAATTAATTATATACAGTTTGTTTGTGAAATTAAAAATTGTTGACTTTCACAGGATAGCAAAATGATGACGAGGACGATGGTGGATGATGGAGCCCTCCCACCGAATGGAAGGTGGGTTGGCTCTGTTGCCTCTGTATTGGTGGGGAGATCTTTAATTAGGGAACCAACAGCCAGCCAAAAGCCTATACAGTGGCAATCGAAAGGCGAACCGACGAGCGAAACGAGTGGGAGAGTGGGAAATGCTGTCTCTGTTTCGTAAGAGGCTTAAAGTTTGCAAAAGGGAAAGAAAAATGTGAAAATGCTTTCGAGTGTGACGTCCAATAAGAATTAGTGGCCAGACTGGAGCAGTGGAGCATCCTCGTACTCGTACTCGTACAGAAGGACGTGGCAGTCTGTCCTGTCATTTATTGCTGTTTTTTGTCTGCTTTATTTTTGTTGGTCCGTTATTTCCATTGATTGACAGTGAAAAAGCGGACACGTTGGCAAGGCACAGCACGCAGGGTTGGCGGGGACATGGACCAAGTACTTTTCGATGGGCAGGCGGCCCATGGGCTCCATGTCTCCACATCCTTCATGCGCGCTAATTGAAGCACGTCGTTACAACCACAGAGGCAGTGGCAAAGGTAGTCGGGACGTGGAACTGGAGGTGGAAGCAGTGGCATGTGAAAGACTCTGTCGAAGCAATGCACTTAATTGGACTACTACGAAGAGCAGTAGCAGCAGCAGCAGCAGCAGCAGCAGCCGCAGCACCAAAGGACTACCGAAGAGCATACCGATAGCTCCTCCTACGATTAATTAGTGGTCCAAACGAAGAGCTACGCTGCGGGGGCAAAAGCAAAGATATCCACAGATAGATGATTGATGCGTCCGTAATTGGAACTATTCCATCTTAAGAGTCTCACCTTAAAGCCCTTCTACCCCATCTTCCTGTCAATTTTCTGGTTAAATAGTGTGAAAAATAACCCATTTGACAGCTGTACGTGAATACTGTACTGAATTTCTTTGCTCGTAATGAAATTACCTCTCGTTATTCTGATATTTCGTCCCCCTTTTCCATATCTACCCGTCGGAGGTTTCTCTGTACTTGTGTGTGGTGGGGCGCCACTTAATGGTGTCCCCAGGTGGTGTCGCCATCCTACATGTTTCTGCCATCCCCTGGATGTTTTTTCTACGGTTTCTCGTCTCGTCTCTCGCTTGGTCTTACGCATAATTAGCGTCGGCGAAAGTAAACTTCTTAAGCTGCAGTTAAAAGCCATAAAACTTATGCGCATCGCTGGCTGTCATGTTAAATTCATAATTTCAATTTGAAATTGTTATTACAGCCCTCCCATTCGCCATTCGCCATTCCTTGGCATCCTCCCCAGCCCCTGTGGGGACGTTCTTCTCACGTTCTTCCCTGATTATTATTATTGACAGTCGCCGCGGCCGCGTCTGCTGCTGTTGTGGCTGTTGTTTTAGTTCTGTCTCTGGCATCATCCTTGGCACTCATTTTAGTCTCATAAATATGCAAATTAATCATTTGCGCAAATTTACATATTTAATAAGTTGCTTTAATTAAATGTTCACGCACGCATGCCTTGCAATCTTGCCCCCGAGAATCGGTTGGAAATCAGTGGAATATCCTTTTTTTTCCACATTAATGCCAACTCTCGTTAATTGTGCTTCGCTGCAGTGATATCTTATTCCACACACACACACACACACAGGCAACGGAAAGTCGGTAAGGGGGAAACTTTTGGCTGGCAACTGTTTCGCATATTTTAGGACACAGTCACGTTCCCATTCAACAGACAACACAGGCAACAGAAACGGCAAAAAGAAAATCTTTTTTTTTTTGTGTTCAACGAGAGAAATTTCCAAAAAAAAAAAAAATAAATATAAAGAAAGAAAAGAGAAAATGAGCGAAGAAAAACGAAGCAAAAATTTATATTATATGCAAACTGTGAGGCGCAGCGAACATAAATTAACATTTTTATGCCCCGCTGCAATGGAGCAGAAAGGAGAGGATATATAGGATGCTTCGGGGGAAGGGCTCAGACCCCGACCCAGACCCAACCCAGGAGTAGTGGCATCCACAGAGCATCAGATGGAGATGGGTCTTTTTTCTAATGCCCGCATTATTTACGAGGCAACGTCCAACCCGCCCCCACTGTCCCCACTGTCCAAGAAGCTGAGGGCCCGCTTTTTCACCATTTCTCCATTTCATTTCATTTCGTTTCCATTTTCATTTCCCATTTCGTTTCGTTTCATTTCGCCTCGTCGCATTCTTTGGCATTTTCCTTTGACGCCACAAATAATTTTAATTGGTTTTCCCCTTGGGGGGAGCCCCCCTCACTCACACACTCACTCATACACACAGATGGTAATGACTTCTTATCTATATAAAGTGTGTGCCACAGTGCGTGGCAGAATCATAAGACCAGAAAGAAAGGTTCAATCGCAATGCAAACTTTTCAACCTATCGATTGGGGAATACTTAAGCTCTTCCAACTTTTGTGTGTCCATTTCCACAGAAAGCGATAGAACCAACAATAGCAATGCAAAACTTGGGACAGCTCTTTAAGCTCTTAGCTCCATTTTCCTGGAGCTTGCTGTTTCCCAGCTTTCATCTTAGAAACATAAGTGTTCTTATCCAGACATCGAAATAAGGGCCCACTCAACACACTCTTATGGCTATTATATGGCACTGTATCTTAATATTCATTCTTCATTCGGATATACATATGCACATTTTCTATTTATTCATTCTATTAAACGCAGTGTATCTTTATCATCCCACAGGCAAGAATGGAAACATTCATCAACCCAGTTGTTGTCTGGCCATACATACATCCCTTTATGCATATTATTAAAGTTTTCCCTGTATCTCCAAGTGTTTGTTTTAGCCACAATTGCAATTTGATTTGACTACAATCTGCATAAATGTGTGTGCGAGCAGGGACAGGAAGTCCTGTGTGGGTGTGGGTGTGGATGTGTGGGTAAATTCTGGCAGGAAAATTTCCACATTTGAATTTACCGCAATTCCATGAATGAGATGATTGGACAACTAGGGTTTTTGGGTTTTGGGGACCCCAAAATGCATTATATAATTAGCAAAAGTTGCAGGTAAACGTAAGCCTGCAAAATATTTAATTAATTGACGTATACGGGTAGTGGGATGCTCTTAGGGTAGTGGGATGCTCTTACCTTTTCACCAAAAATGATCAAATATTTCCCAGCTGCTTCTTTGCTCTCAGTTCTCACTTATTTTTTCCTTTCTATTTTTAGTTTCCTTTTTTCCTTAGCTCTTCTTCTTGCCGTAGCTTTTGCTCCTTCTTTTGGTTTAGTTAACCATTGTTTTGTAACTGTTGTTTTGGCTTACACAGCCATACACACCCACACACACAGGACACACACACAAGCGCGCGAGTACACTTTCACATATACGGGGACACTCGCGCAACACGAACCGAACACAGATGCAGATACAGATGGCTGTGGCTGCGGCTGCGGCTGCTGTGGCGGGGACGTGCGTCAAACGTTTGGGGGACACATATTTCGGATGGAGAATTCATTAGGCATGCGGGAATTTTAATTTCACTTGCTCACACACACGCACATAGTATGTGGCGACATATTTCTCAAGCATTTTTGCAACGGTGCCGACTCGACGGATGTGGGATATGGGTTTCTCCTGATGCTGCAGATGCCGATGCCGATGCTGTTGCTCCTTGTCCTGCTCCTGCTCCTGTTCTTGTTCCTGCCAATCCTAGTCATGCTTTTCGGTTTGTTTTCGTGGCGGCTCTGGTGTTGCCTTTAAATTTTCATGTGGCGCGTTGACCTTGCCGCCCAAGTGGAAACAACTATGCCACACACACTCACACACACCAACCACCTCCACACACACACTCGCACTCACACTCGCACAGTGAGGCTGAGCTCACGTTGACAGCTGTCAAAAATTGCGTGGAAAGGCTGGAGATTTTTTCAGCATTTTACAGCCTGCTGGTGGCAAGGAGGAGGAGGCGGTACAACACCGCGGCAGCAGGACAGCAGGACCGTGGTCGGGGCCGGGGCCGACAGGAGCAGTAGGATGTAGGCCTCCAGAATTTCCATAACGCACGAGAGGTGGGGTAGGGGAGCGCAACTGACTGCGGCAGCGGCAGGGGCAGCGGTGGCAGAGCCCTACGCGTTTAATGTTCAAGTCAAGTGCGAAGCTTATGCGCCCCGACACGTGCGCGTGAGTGCGTCGTCGTGTCGTCTCCAGCGGGGGTAGGACATTGAGTTGGGGGCTCAGGGTGCTTCCCTCTCTTTCTCGCCCGCACTCGGTGTTTTATTATTTCGTTCCTTCTTTCGTGCTATCCTCTTTGTGTGATGCTTTTCCCCCTGTAAGCCAGTACGGTCCACGACAGTCGTTTCTTTTGTTCTTCTCCGCTACGCCGCTTCGATGACAAATTTTTCGTTGTCTGTGTACAACAAAACGAAAAAAATGGAGAAGGAAACACGAGAGGAGAGAATAGAAAAGAAGAGTTTAAAGGATAGAAGAGGAGAGGATGAGCGCTTTCCAGTTTTTTAACGGCCGCCGATTTGATTTCTCACTTTCGCTTTTCCTTTCGCACTTTTGTACCGTTGTACCGACTATTTTTTTTTCTTTTTAGATTGGATGTGTGCTCTTAAGAACGTTTTTTATATCGTCTCTCTGTTGTTCTCCGTGCTCTCATTTTCTGTACCGCTCCGCTCATTCGTTGTTGTTGCTCTGCTTTCGTCCCGTTTGCATAATAAATGTAAGCCGTTTGCGTTTTCCGATGGATGGGGGGCACCGACCCGCGTCAGTGTCCGTGTCCGTGTCGGCCTAAAACACACGTGGCGGTGGGGGGTTCTATATTTCTGCGGATGCTGCTTATACACAGCCAACGGCCTGGCTCTTCCGGCTAACAGCTGCTCACCAGCCGAAAATCCGGGCTCCGGGATTTGAAAATGTACCGAATTTTAAGTTTTCCACCCGAGTCACCGACTGCGGTACGTTCTTCGAAACCGAGATTCCGTCAGATGAAAATCGTGTCTCGTCTCTCGCGCGATTCACTTGTTCATCGCACGGGCACCATTTTCCTACTCTCAGCTGCTGCCCGTCATTTGGCTTTTCCACCCGCAAGTTCATTCGAAGGGATGTGAAAACTCACTCAAATCATCCCAACCAACGCCAGCAGAGCCGTGTGCCAAGATCCAGTTGGAACTTTGAGTGCGAAAACGCGAATCACACTCAAGAGCGCAAACTTTGGAGACAAATATTGAGATATTGAAGAAATCATTGTTAAAGCTCATCTCATCTAAAGCTTGCTCTCTTGGCTCGGCGCATGGAAAAAAAGGAAAAGTTACTATGGTAATTTATTATTTCGCTAGTTCGAAAATTCGAACTTGGTGCGGTTTTTTTCATACATATTTTGAGCAACCCAATAAACAGAAGTATGTACTTAAAACAGGCCAATCTTATAGAAAACTGATTCGAATATGGGATAAAACTATGTGTATAGATTTTTGAGTTCTACATAGCTAGTAATATTAAAGCGAATATCAAAATTGAGGAATATAATTTCCGATCATGGACAGAGCACGATTAACCCACTATTGACCCATTTCGATTTACGCAGGAATATTATGAAACTTGAAACATTTTTACGCATTTCAGGTGAAAGATATCGTGGTAATATTTGCTTGCAAGTAAAAAGTAAGGATTGATCTTCAAGAAAAATATACAAACTGTATTCTTTTCCGCGTTTTAATTGAAGGAATTTCACTGTTTAAATAAAGAGGGGTTAAGCGGGCCAAGTTTTTTTGTATCTTCGGTATTTTTACGGTATATTATGAATATGAGACGGTATATTTCGGGGGGGGAAATGTGCATTAATAGGTAAAAAAACATGTCAATCTAGGATAAAATCATAAATAATGTTTCAATGGAGCTTGGAACAAAACATTTAACTCCAATTAAAAGAAATAAGGTATACAAAAGTACATACGCATAGAAAAAACTTGGTTGACCTGCAACACTGACGTCACATTTAGTCAAAATTTACGCTTATACTTTGGCCGCTTTTGTTTGAACCTTATTATGTAAAAAATCCAATAAAAAAGAGTTGTGAAAACTAGCCAATCCTAAAAAAAATTCATTGAGGAATTGGATAAAATTATTTGTTCAGGGCTGAGAGTCCCAGTTAGCTAGTAATATTAAACGGAATATCAAAATCGAGGAACATCAACTTTGAATGTTTTGAAAAAAACAATCAATACTATCGTAATAGTATCGGGCTCAAATAATTATTAAAAAAACCATTGAAAACTTTTAGGAACTTGTCCATTGTAAAAATTAGATGCCACCTGTCGATTTGTCTACAAATGTGTCTTCGTATTTTATAGCAGCCAATCCAAACATATCAAAAGCGAAGCTACTGTAGCTCGATACTATCATGATAGTCGCCAAACCGTCGATAGTAGAGGCAGTAGCAGTAAAATATCGATACTATCGATAGTGCCCTCGATGGTTTGACACCTCTAGACAGCACCCATCTTGAAAAGTCTACGAGCTGGCTACGAGGAGTTGGTGTAGTTATTTAATTATTTCTGCGGCAAAAGAGTTAAAAAAAATATAAAATGTCGATGATTTCTGCACGCTTGGCGTCGTCGGTCGCCCGCACCTTGCCCAAGACGGCCGCACAGGTATTAAAAACTGAGTAGAAGCCACGGCGAAAAATTTGCATATAAAAGTTATACATAATCCAATACCCTCGCCGAGAGAATTGGCAAAGAAAAAGTGCAGCCCGAGTCGAAATGGATTACAAAGCATCGTTGGAGGAAACTCGCCATCTGCGCCACGAGCGACGATTAGGTTTTTCAGCATTTTGGCCCAGAATTTTGTGTTACGCAATTCGGCAAAAATCATAAGCGGCCGCGGATAGTGGCTCCCACTGTTACATAACTATACTATCGTTAAATATGTCTAAGAACTTGAAATTAAAATTTGGCAACTAATAGCATAGTAATAGTGGATAGAAACGCGCAAGGTGCATTGTTTGTGTAGAAATATTACATAATTTTGGGTACGTCGGCTTTGCCAGCCAGCTCATTGTCAGCACCCGAAGTGTGAGGTTATGTTCAAGGCAGCAAGTGTTGAGCGAACGATAAAGTGCGGGAGGGGGTGCAGAGTGCCGAGACTGGGATTGATAAATGAAAAAGTACCCTAGAAGTTTATTAATCTAATATTTGTGGCACAGAGCAGAGGAAAAGCGAGTGTCCCTCGTGTGTTGGTTACTCAACTACGAGACACATCCCCCGCACACACTTTCCTTACATAAGCAATATTGTTAGTAATTCCGGAACTCGATTCGATTGTTCTCTCTCCTACAGATTGCCTGCAAGGCTTCGTACCCAGCTGCCTCTCTCGCTGCCCGTAAGTTCCATGTTGCCAGCTCACAGCGCAGCGCGGAGATCTCCAACATCCTGGAGGAGAGAATCCTGGGCATTGCACCCAAGGCCGATCTGGAGGAAACCGGTCGTGTGCTTAGCATTGGTGACGGTATCGCTCGTGTCTATGGCCTGAACAACATCCAGGCCGATGAGATGGTGGAGTTCTCCTCCGGCTTGAAGGGCATGGCCCTCAACTTGGAGCCCGACAATGTCGGTGTGGTCGTCTTCGGTAACGACAAGCTGATCAAGCAGGGCGATATTGTCAAGCGTACTGGTGCCATTGTCGATGTCCCAGTCGGTTATGAGCTGCTGGGTCGCGTTGTCGACGCTCTGGGTAACGCCATTGATGGCCTGGGTGCCCTCAACACCAAGGACCGCTTCCGTGTCGGCATCAAGGCCCCCGGCATCATTCCCCGTGTGTCTGTGCGCGAGCCCATGCAGACCGGAATCAAGGCTGTGGACTCTCTGGTGCCCATCGGTCGTGGCCAGCGTGAGCTGATCATCGGCGACAGGCAGACTGGGTAAGTGTCGAAGAGCTCCCCGCACAGAGTTTTCCCCAACTATCTCTGTAACCCGACCGCTCTTGCAGTAAGACCGCTCTGGCCATTGATACCATCATCAACCAGAAGCGTTTCAACGACGGCCAGGAAGAGTCCAAGAAGCTGTTCTGCATCTACGTTGCCATTGGCCAGAAGCGTTCCACTGTCGCCCAGATGTTGAAACGTCTGACCGACGCCGGCGCCATGAAGTACACCATTATTGTGTCTGCCACCGCTTCGGATGCCGCACCCCTGCAGTATCTGGCTCCCTACTCTGGCTGCGCCATGGGCGAGTTCTTCCGCGACAAGGGAAAGCACGCTCTGATCATCTACGACGATTTGTCCAAGCAGGCCGTCGCCTACCGTCAGATGTCTCTGCTGCTGCGTCGTCCCCCCGGTCGTGAGGCCTACCCCGGTGATGTGTTCTACCTTCACTCCCGTCTGTTGGAGCGTGCCGCCAAGATGTCCCCCGCCATGGGAGGTGGATCCCTGACTGCCCTGCCCGTTATTGAGACCCAGGCCGGTGATGTGTCCGCCTACATTCCAACCAATGTCATTTCGATCACTGACGGCCAGATCTTCTTGGAAACCGAGTTGTTCTACAAGGGTATCCGTCCCGCCATCAACGTCGGTCTCTCCGTCTCCCGTGTGGGCTCCGCTGCCCAGACCAAGGCCATGAAGCAGGTGGCCGGTTCCATGAAGCTGGAGTTGGCCCAGTACCGTGAGGTCGCTGCCTTCGCCCAGTTCGGCTCTGATTTGGATGCCTCCACCCAGCAGCTGCTGAACCGTGGTGTGCGTCTGACCGAGCTGCTCAAGCAGGGACAGTACGTGCCCATGGCCATTGAGGATCAGGTGCGTAGTCCATTGATGCACCCCCTGCGATGTGTCCCTAAGTTCTTCCTCCTCTCCAGGTTGCTGTCATCTACTGCGGCGTGCGCGGACACTTGGACAAGATGGACCCCGCCAAGATCACCAACTTCGAGAAGGAGTTCTTGCAGCTCATGAAGACCAGCGAGCAGGCTCTGCTCGACACCATTGCCAAGGAGGGCGCCATCTCTCCCGCCACCGATGCCAAGCTGAAGGATATTGTTACCAAGTTCTTGGGCACCTTCCAGGGTTAAATTGCAACGGTCAGTCAGCAGCGCGGTGTAACATCTTAGATGCGGCTCAGAGATTACCCTAAAAGCAAGATCAATAAAGTAGAATATTGTCTAAGTCGAAAGTCCCCTAACAATTTCAATGCTGCCCATTGCCGCGCGCAGATCTATAAATCAAGAATAACATCATAAAGAAGCCTACAACACTACAACTTAAGATAAACAAAAATTATACAAAACAAAAGAAAATCCTTTTGCGCATTCATGTTTTCCTGCGGTTCCGGCCAGCTCCGTGTCCCTTTACGCCGTCCAACGCCACCAAAATGCCACAAATCTTGGGAGAGAGAGAGAGCAGGCGGAAGGCGGTGGACGGGGCACGGAATGGCCGAATCCAGTTTCGAATTTCAGCGACATCCGTGTGGTTCCTCCAACCATTAGATAATGATAATCCTGCATTGTTCTTCTGCTCTAAAAATGTGTAATCAATATTTGAAATATTGTAATCGAGAATAGTCGAATACTGTCTGTGGATGATTGTGAAACGATGATGAAATAAAAACGATACTAAATTATACTCTAAACGAAGAACTATCACAGGATATTTATTTCACTCTTTAAACGCCGATTTAGTGATTATTTAAAATTGATCAATGGATATTTTAGAACCATCCAGAATTCGGAATCCTTATTCACTTCTTTAAGGCTTATCTTCTATTTAATATTTTGTGAAGCTAAGAATTTGATGGACTACTTAATCTGAGCACTCGCTCCCAGCTGATCCGTCAGCAGCTGCTCTTACCCTGTTCCGTCTTTTGCATAACCTCCCTTCCCTCTGAGTTGACCTCCGGCCCACCCTCGTGAGTTACCGTTACCTGAGGCAACGACTGTCAGGAGCAGTACCAGTGGTTCAGTGGTGGTTCCATGCTCTGCATATTTCTATACCAGCGAGCCAGAAACGAGAGCAAGGAAACCTAAGCGCCTGTGCCCGTTCAGAGTTCAGAAACCGAAACGAGCCCCGAAATTAAACGAACTGAAGTTTTTATGACACGGCGGAGGCATGGCATCCAA